ACCCCCTAGCCCCTAGCAAGCACCATCCTACTGTTTCTATGAATTTGACTACTTTAGATTCCACTCATATAAGTGGAATCACACAATATTCATCTTTTAGTGGTTGGCTAATTTCACCTAGCATAATATCAAGGTTCATCCAGGTTGCAGCATGAAACAGGATTTCTCTTGTTTTATAAAGGCTGAATAATATTCCTTTGTGTGTATGTTTCACATTTTCTGTATATATCACAGGCATGTCTGTCTTCTGTATTTAGCCATTCTGGTGGGCATTATGTTATATGTGATTATGGTTTTGACTTGTAATTCCCAAATGATTAATAACTTTGAGTGTCTTTCATGTGCTTACTGGACAATTTTATATCTTTTTTTGAGAAATGTCTATTTGGGTCCTTTACTCATTTTTTCCCTTTTCAATAGACTTCGTTTTTTAGAGCAGTTTTAGATTCCCAAAATTGAACAGAAGTGCAGAGATTTCCCATATACACTCTTGGCCCCATACACACAGGCTCCCTGACTATCAAAGTCTGGATAATAGAGTGGCACACCTGTTTAGACTGACACATTATCATCACCCAAAGTCCATAGTTTACATTAGGGTTCACTGTTGGTGTTACACATTCTGTGGGTTTTGCCAAAGTATAAGGACATTTATCTACCATTATAAGATCGTGGAGTAGATCCTATAATCCTAAAAATCTTCTGTGTTCTGCCTATTGTATCCATCTCTTCCCTTTAACCTTTGGGAACCACTGGTCTTTGTACTGTCTCCACAGTTTTGCCTTTTCCAGAATGTCATGTAGTTGGAATCATACAGTATGTAACCTTCCCAGAGTGGCTTCTTTCACTTAGTAATGGGCTTTCAGTTTTCCTCATGTATTTTCATAGCTTACTACTGATTTCCTTTTAGCACTGAATAATATTACGTTGTCTGGATGTACTACAGTTTATTTATCCGTTCTTCTACTGAAAGACATTTTGGCTACTTCCAAGTCTTGATAATTCTGAATAATGCTGCTATAAACATCTGGGTACAGGTTTTTGTGTGCCTTACTTTAAAATTGGGTTATTTACCTTTTTATTGTTGAGTTGCAAGAGTTCTGTATATACTGTGGCACAAGTCCTTATAGTTTTAGGCCTCACATTTAGGTCTTTGATTCATTTTGAGTTCATTTTCACATATAGAATGAGGTAGGGGGTCCAGCTTCATTCCTTTGCCAGTGGATATCCAGTTGTCACAGCACCCTTTATTGAAAAACCTATTCTTTCTCTGCGACTGTCTTGATACCCTTGCCTAAATCAATTGACAGTCAATGGATAAGGTTTATTTCTGGACTCTGATTTTTCTTCTATCGATCCATATATTTATCCTAATGCAAGTACCACAGTGTCATGTAGCTCACTATAGCATTACTGAAGCTTTCTAACAAATTTTGAAATCAGGAAGTATGAATCCCCCAAATTTGGTCTTTTTCCTTTCTTTTTTATTTAGAGAGAGAGAGAGAGAGAGAGAGTGCATGCTGGGCAGAGTGTGTGGTGGGCAGAGGGAGAGAGAAAGTCCTAAGCAGGCTCCACGCCAGGCATGGAGTCCACCGTGGGGCTTGATCTCAGGACCCTGACATCGTGACCTGAGGTGAAAGCAAGAGTCAGACCCTTAATTGACTGAGCCACCCAGGTGCCCCGAGTTTGGTCCTTTTCAAAGTTGTTTGACTATTCTGGGTCTCTTGAATTTCCATATGGATTTTAAATTAGTTTGTCAGTTTCTGGGAAAAAAAGTAAGGCAGCCGGGATTTTGATAGAGATTGTTTCTGCCCCTGAGGGGGTAGGAGGGTTGTTTACTTAGAATTCATTTTTAGTTCACCCCTCCCCGGAGTCTCCCATTCAACTCCCCTCCTTTTTTTTTTTTTTTTTAAGATTTTATTTATTTATTTGACAGAGACACAGCGAGAGAGGGAACACAAGCAGGGGGAGTGGGAGAGGGGGGAGCAGGCTCCCCGCTGAGCAGGGAGCCCGATGCGGGGCTCGATCCCAGGACCCTGAGATCATGACCTGAGCCGAAGGCAGACGCTTAACGACTGAGCCACCCAGGTGCCCTCAACTCCCCTCCTTGAGTGGCTTTGCTCCCTGTCCTTCTGCCCTGCAAGGCCATGAAAAAGAAAACCCATTACTAGCTTTCACAAGAGGCCAACAAAAGGTGATGTGATTTCAGTATTTCTGCCTCCACATGTTTTTGAGGCTTCCCAGTATTCTTCACTTTCCTCTTCGGTGCAATTTAGAGGGTTTTTAATTTTGTTTTTGTTTGAATTGTAGCCATCACCAGGAGTTGTTTTCAGGCTGTTTAGTGCACCGTGCTACCAGAAACAAACATTTGGCTCCTATCATCGGTCATAATCTGTAGCTCACTGGCTGTCATCCCCTTTATTCGGGTATGAGCCCAATCCCTTGCAGCACTCAGTCTTTCCAGACATCCCTCCAGGTGGAAGAGCGGGTTCCACCTGTACTCATAGACAGGCTTCTCAGCTGCAGGAAGGCTTTTCTCTCTCTGCCTTCCGTCTGCCCCCGCTGGGTTTTGCCATCTGCTGGTGGCATCACCCCCTCTTGAAGTCCCTGCTCGCTCGGGGTTGCACAGCTGTTCTCGGAAAGGGATCCAGTTCGGGGTCACTGGCTGCAGTTGGTTATCCTCTTTTTAGTCCTCACTTGGAACCTTCCATCTTTCCTTGACTTTCTTGACTTTGACACTTACAGGTCAGTTATTTTCAGAATGTCTTCAGTTTGGGTTTGTCTGATGCTTCCTTGTGATTACATTCAGATCATGCATCTCTAGCAAAGAATTGATGTTGTGTTTGGCTCAGCATGGCCTATCAGGCGGCCCACAGCTTTCCATGAACGTGGATCAGTTCATTAAGGTGGTTTCTGCCAAGTTTCTTCACTAACAAGTTACTGTTTTTTCTTTGTATTAGTAAGGAATACTAATTCCTTACTAATTGTTGCACAGAGGTACCTCAAGACCATGTAAATGTTCCATTACTCCTCAAACTTCTACCCACTAGTTTTGATGTTTTGTGGTTGAATTGTTAATACGATGGTTGCCAAATGGTGGTTTTTCTAATTCGTCCTTTAGGAAAAGCTTTCTCTTCTCCCCATTTATTTATTCCTTTAGTTGGTTATATCAAGATGGACTCATGGATTTTTATTTTGTTAATGGGGACTTATACTCAGTTACTACCATTATTTATTTATTTTGATATTTAAATTGTCTCAAATCTGGCCAATGAAATCTCTTCAAACTGGGTCTGTGCCCTTTTTTAAAAATGCATTTTTGATCATGATGAAGACACAAAATGTAAAATTTATTATCTTAATCATTTTTAAGTGTACAGCTCAGTAGTGTTAAGAATATTCACATTATTGTGAAATAAATCTCCAGAACCTTTTCATCTTGCAAACTGAAATTCTATGCGCATTGATCAATAGCTCCCTTTTCCTTCTTCCTCCAGCCTCTGGTAACTACCATTCGACTTTCTATGATTTTGGTCACTCTAGATATCTTATATAAATGGAGTCCAACAATATTTATCTTTTTGTGACTGGCTTATTTTATTTAGCATAATGTCCTCAAGGTCCATCCATGTTGTAGCATATGGCAGAATTTCCTTCCTTTTTATGGCTGAATAATATTCCATTGTATGTAGATATCACTTGGTGTTTAGCCCTCCAGCCATTGATGGACATTTGGGTTGCTTCCACCTCTTGTCTCTTGTGAATGATGCTGCTGTGAACACGGGTGTGCAAATATCTTTTTGAGACCTTGCTTTCCCAGAAGTAGAATTGCTGGATCATGAGGTAATTCTATTTTTCCTTCTTCGAAGAGACCCCAGACCCTTTGCCATTGTGGTCGTACCACCTTCCATTCCTAGCAACAGTGCATGATTTCTCCATATCCTCGTCAACACTTATTTTCAGTTTTTTGTTTATTGTTTTTGTTTTTTTAATAGTAGCCATCCTGATGAGTGTGAAGTGATTCTAGATCCTTTGGAACATCTCCCACCATTCTTTGAGCGCTTCTCATCTTTAGGCACACAGTTGTTGCAGGCTCGCTTTGTACTTTCCCTGACCTAGCCCTGGAATCAGCCATTTCTCCTGGAAGAAGGAGGTTTTAGTGAGGATGGTGTTTAGAAACTAAAATCTGGGGACCTTTCAGATTAGTTTTACATGTGGCATGTTTGTTCTTCACAGGACTTACACATGATTCTAGTGAGGCTGGGGTGACACACACACCCCCTCAGCCCCCATTCCCACCTCCAAATTAAGGATTGATTTCTAGAGCAAGCCTCCCATTTCTGAGCCCAGGGTGGGTCTCCGGGGTCTCCTCCCCCAGCTCCCCAGAGCGACACTGACCCAGCTAAACCTCCCCAGTGGATTTACCTTAGGCTCAATGTGAGATTCCAACTGTAGGAAACATTGCACACTCAGGAAAAAGTATTGGAACCTGGGATTTAGCTATCTTATTTGAGAGGCAGGACTGAAAAAAATATATGCTGAAGCACAGCTTTTCAATTAGTTAGCTAGCTGGACTAACAATATACATACACTTCTAGCAGTGCAGTTTCATGGAAAGACTAACTTTGAACTCATAAGTGAGTATGAGTCCCTGCATTGGTGCAGACAAGCCCTGTGACCTGGGTGAGTTTAAGCTCTACAAGCATCTGTTTCCTTGTCTGTAAAATGAATAACACTCATCTTGAAGAATCTTTCGGGGGAATGGAGACATGTCAAGAGATGAGGATGCTAACTGGTATATGGTAGGTGGGCATACCTCTCTCGTGCCACAGTATGTCATCATTCCTGGGGCCAGAAGCTTCACTTACGCAGTCCTTTGGAACCCAACAGAACTTTGGGGTCAAGTGGTTACCTGCTTATGAGTGATTTGTAGGCTTCAAAACTGTTTCCTTTCATGAGCAGTCTATATTCACTTAAAAATTATTATCTCTTCCTTCCAGTGAACCTGCAGTATTTCAGAAATACCACCAAGTGAGTCTGCTTGCAAGATTTAATCAAGACTTGGATAAAGTGGCGACCATTTCCTTGGTGTTCTCTACCGGATCTGTTATAGGCCCCAAGTACAAGCTCAGGATTCTCCGCATGAAGTTAAGGTCACTTGCCCATCCAGAGAGGTGAGCAATTGGCAGGGTTTGACAAGCCCTTGTTTTCCAAAGACCTTCTCAGTTCCTGTCCAATCTGCTTGGTCTGATGTTTTAATAGGACTTCATCCATTATAATGAAGGAGGGGAGGGGTTTTCCAAAAATAGACTTGAAAAAAGCCAGTAGCCCCAAAATTCAAGAAAATTTTACTGGTAGGCACTTAAAGATAAATGGCCCAATAATTCAAAGAAATAACATTACATGCTTATAGTTATATAATTCTTCCCTAATCACTCCACCCACACTGCTTGCAAGTATTTTTGTTGTGGAAAAGAGCCTCATATAATTTGGCAAACACAGAGCCTCATATAAAAAAAGGTACAGAATAACAAATATTTTATTCCATTGATACAGTATGAAAGGACTATCTCGATGTTGAATTTGATAACTGCACAGAGAATGTCCTTGTTCCTAGGAAATACACATTGAAGTATTAAGGGGTAAGCAACCTATTCTCAATTGGGTCAGAAAAAATAAGCAACTGCGTTTGTGTGTGCGTGTGTGCGTGTGCACGGGGGGACAGAGTCAAATTGGGGGAGAAAGAGCAAAGCTGTGGTGGCATGGGTGCTTTGTGACTCATGCCACTCCAACACATATTCCTAGCATCCAATCTGTCGGCAAGACAGAGGTGGACAATGCTGTGAGCAGTCAGTGATTTATGCTTATGAATGCCTTTCTCCTGAAGGTTTAGGGTACCCTAAAACATTTAATAATACACGTTTCTTCTAAGAGGACAGTCATGACATCTTAAAACCATGGAACTTTTTAATACTGTTTTTCCTCTGATCATCAAAGGAATACATGTTGATTTTATAAAACCTGGAAACGTCAAAGGTGTTAAGAAGCAGAATGATATCACCCATCATGTCATTATTCGGAGGCAACAATTGTTAATAGTCTGGGTTATTTCTTTCTAATCTCCTTTCTATTATTGCTTTAAGCCTAGATGAAAATAAATAAATGAAATCTTAAAAAAAAAAACCAAAAACAAAGCTAGACGAAGTTAGGTGGCAAATGACGTCTTATATCCTGCTTTCTTATTGTTGCTGATCTTACTCTGCTTATTTACCATAAGCATTTTCCTATCACGTTAGAAGTAATTGCTCCACGATGTTAGATCCTAAGGACAGAACATGGTTTCTTTTCCTAGAACGGGCTCTGTTTACTACTTGATTGACAAGGCTATTCCGTCTCGTGTTTGCAGGCCCCAGTTGTGTCGGTATGATCTTGTGCTGATGGAAAACATTGAGACGGTCTTCCAACCCATCCCGTGCCCCAAGCTGCTGATGTAACTGTTGTTGGGACACACGGGCACCAGTAACATCAAGAAAACGACAACTGTAGGCTTTTTTTAAAGTGTCACCTCACCTTTTCCTCAAGGCACAAAAAAGTATGGGTGTCTTTTCCAGCAGCGTCCCATGGATGTCACATTGCAAAATGTCAAACGACCTTGGATTATGGAACGGTCCTGGGAAGGGAGCCCCTAAGTAGGGCAAGTCAGAAATAGCCAGGCTCCCAACAGCCCAGCGCCTTGTCTGGCTGCGTCCTGGGGCCTCTGTGTCCCGGCCTTTCGGCTGTGCTGCCAGTCACTCGGGCAGCTCTGCTCAGCGCTGTGGCCGGTCAAGCGCCTGAAAGGGAAGGACTGGCTGGAGACCCCACTTCGGACTCGACCGCGCACTCCCTGTGCCACACTCCTCCAGGTCCTTGCACACAGAAGGGGATGGAGCCTGACCTACCTCACAGGGCTGTCGTGTGGGTTTGGGGGCCAGTCTGTGAAGGGTTCTTGGAAATCCCGGTGCCACATCCGTGAGTGGTTTGATAAATGTGAATACGCTTTTATTTATTTTGATATGGCTGACCTAATATACAATGAGAGAGCTTCTCCTCCTCAACAGCAGCCTGTCTCTTGAGCTGTTTGCTCTGGGAAGACAGGAAAGCCACACCCTGCCTTCTCTAAAGTGGGTTGGTGCGCGGAGGCAGTGAGGACACAATGGGGGTGGGGGCAGCTGCTGGGACTAGACAGTAAGCGCCCGAGGGAAGAAAGGCGGACGAAGTGGTAGGAAAGGCCTGCTCACAGTGACAGTGGGTGAGGCGAGAGGTCAGAGAGAAAAAGCTTGGTTTTCACTTGAGGTGGAGAAGGCTCACTTTCCAGGCAACGCTCATTTTAAGCAGTCCTTCAGAAATGTTCATTTCTCCTTGTTACTGATGCAATCCATGCTTATTTGAAGGAAATTTATAGAGAATACATAGATGCAAAGTGAACATACGCTATCTACGATCCACCTGTTGGAGGTCATGAACGCTAACCTTCTGGAATGATGCTAAATAACTTGTGTTGCTAACATGTGAATTCAAAGCATACACCGGTGTGCTCCAGTTTGAAAAATCCTTGGGCTGCCCCAGGACTGGGTATGCTCCGTGCATCTGGAGTGACAACAGCCGCTCGGTCAAGAGGCCCTGGAGGGCCAAGGCCAGAGAGGCCAGAACCAGGGGAGGACCATCCCCGGGGACCTGATGCCCGGTGCAGGCACAGACCCAAAGCGGGGGGTACCACCCATCCCGCAGCTGTGGCCACTGCAGGAAGGTTCCTGAGATTCCGGAGGGTCACAGGCCCATACCCTCCTCCTCATCCAAGTGATTGTTCTTCTGCTTTCCGTGAGAACAGCCCTTTTAAAAGAAATGGAGTCTTTATTTGATAAACTATAGAACTCTATACATACATTCCTGTGTGGCACATCTTGTACAGGTTTCTATATGTATCGCGTGGAGCCTGAGCTGGGGAAGGCAGGCGGCTCAGAGATGCTCCTGCCCACTTGGCTATCTTCTCGCCCTTCCTCCCTCTTCCACATTTCTCCAGCAGTTATGCACAGAGAGATGAGTGTGCTGATAGGCCCTGATTTCTTTTTAGAGTTTTACTGATCCTGTATTTTTTTTTTAAGATTTTATTTATTTGGGAGAGAGAGACAGCGAGGGAGCAAGGGAGAGAGAGAGAGAGCACGCTGGGGGAAGGAGCAGAGGCAGAGGGAGAAGCAGACTCCCCGCTGAGCAGGGAGCCCGGTGCAGGGCTCGATCCCAGGACCCCGGGATTATGACCTGAGTGAAGGCAGACGCATAACGGACTGAGCCACCCAGGCACCCCTGGTCCCATATTTTGATTAGCACAGCCATTTCTCTGCCCCTTTTCCCTCACCTGGTAGGCAGGGGCCAAAACAACAGCAAGAAAATGTCAGAATAGCATTGCTATCGTTTATGAACTCCTCACGCCAGGGGTCTGTCTGGGCTTCTTTAGTGTCTCTTAGCACGGTACCTGGCTCACTGGGGAATGGGTGGATGGATGCACAAACGGATGAATCAATGAATGATTAAAGGAGGGAAGTTTGAAGGAAGTTTGTTCACTGGACGGAGATGAATTTCAGTAAGTCTCATGTGACAGTGATCCAGAGAAGTGAAGGCAGGTGTGGCCACTCCCTTCGCAGGTTCTCCCAAGGCCCCTGAACTTCCCACTCTTGCTATCCTTGCCTCTCCTCCCTCCTCTTTGTCAGAGTCTCCGTCTGAATCCCAAAGCCAAGATGCAATTAAATTGCAGTCTACCCACTTCCCTCCGATCTTCATCAATTGTCTCCTACTGAGCTTTATTCCCCCTTATATTTATTGGTGTGATTATTTGGTTAATGTCTGTCTTCACTAGACTGCTCTGCAAGGCAGGGGCAATGAGCCTAATGTGGCGCCTACAACATAGTCCGTGCTCAGGACATATTAAATGAACGCTCATCATGATCTTCTGAACCCTATGGAACCATGTTCAGTTGTAAGAGCTCTCCCTACTCCCAGCCATTGCCCATTTCCACAGAGGCACACACCCTTCTCTGCCTTAGCCTTCTTTCCCAGCACTTCTTTATTATTTCCATTCTCCCTGGAGACCCACTACCCATTTCCCAGGCTCCCTGGGAAAAGAGAGAGGTTGGCTCTTTTTTCACTCCTCTTTAGAACCTTCCAGATGGTCCTGACACCATTCTTCACCAAAACCACCAGTCCTGAAGGCAAGGAGATTTTGCTCTCCTCCACTTCCCCATTTTAGAGCCTTGGCTAAAACCCTCCGGGCCCCTCTAGCATTCCTGGGTGACTCCAAGCTGTGGTTCAAAGTCCCCCCTTGCTTTCCACAACTCCCTTCTGCCACTGACTTTGTATGTGCGCCATCACTGCTCTTCTTATGCTGTACTGTACTATATTTCTGTGTCTGTCCCCCCTCTGAGACTGTGAGCACTGCAGGAGCCGCTGTGGCTTATTTGTTGCCCTAGCACCTAGCACAGTGTGAGGCACAAAGCAAGTATTCGATAAATGTCTGCTGAACAGAATGGAGTGGACTCATCTTTAGGACACCTCCACTTGGATTTAGACATCAATACACTTAACTGTGTTACTTCCCAAACCCTAAATTTGGAATCTCTCATCCTTGGACCCCTGCCCCATGCTCCCAGTCCTGCAAAACCCTAGCTTAGCCAAGAAGACTTGGAACGCCAGTAACAGAAATCTACTCATACTAATGCAAATTTTACTAGAGAGAGGATTTGTGGAAACCCAAGAGCTCAACCACCAGCCTTCAGGAAGGGCAGGGATGGGGCAGCCCCGAGCCTTTAGCAAGAGTTCATGGGCCTTTGTTGACCCTGTGCTCTACCTTGAGTCTCTTGACTCAGCTTGGCTCCCTCACAGGGCAGCTCTGGACCCCTGAGATCATTGGTACCATCGTGTCCCCAGCTATTCAATCACTACGTGGCCCAATTCCAAAATCCAGGGAGAGGAAGCAGCACTTAGATCCTCCTCTTGGGGAAGGTGTCCATCCCGTTCCAATCAGTTATGGCTGGAACGGGGTAGGGAAGCTAAATCCTGTGGTCCTTGAGCTACTCCTTTCAACTGCTCTGTGCAGATCCAATCCAGCCAATAAAGGAGCTTGAGTGCTATCGACAAAGAGCCTCAGTGAGCGCCTGGCTAATCCACTCTCACTGGAACCTCTTGCCTTTTCTCCCTCCCACTTCCCTGAGCAACTGGCACCTACCTGTTTCTCAGGCCAGCGTGTGTCCCTGGTCGGGGGTTACTGCTGTCCTTTGTCAGGCTGCCTGGGCATGTGCTGTAAATGAATGGGCTCAACAGAGGCTAGTGTATATGCCAGGTGGTACACCAGCTGGTTAAGAGTTAGCTCTGCGGGTGCTGGGTCAGGGAGACAGATCAGCGTGGAGGTGGGATGGGAGTGAGGAGCCCAGTTTAAGGCTGCTTTCCCATGCAGACAGGCCGAGCAGGAGGAATCAGAATAGGAATCCTGGGGAGTGGGGTGGGCCAGGCAGCAAGCAGTGGCTTGGGTAGTGAGCCTGTGGGAAATCAGGTTTGCATCCCCCAAAAGAGCTCTGTCAAAGGTCTCTTACCCCCCCAGGTTCGCGGAATCCCACAACCCTCAGGTGTGCCTGCTGGGTTTTCCCACTGACTCTGACACTGCCCACTGCTTCCTTTCCTAACACTGCTTCTTGGGCTCTTGGGACACTCCTCCCCCTCCTCGACATCCCTGAGTGAGTCATCTTGTTCTCTGATTCCATGATTTCCTTACCAGACTTCTGATCTCAGCCCTCTCTCTCTCAAGAAGGTAGTGCAGGTAAGAGATTAGGCTCTGGTGTGTGACCTCTGTCAACTTACTTAACTCTTCCTAAGCTTCCCTTTCCTGGACTGTAAAGTGGGGCTGTTAAGAGTCCCTGCCTCAGGGCACCTGGGTGGCTCAGTTGGTTAGGTGAGTGCCTTCGGCTCGGGTCATGATCTCAGGGGCCTGGGATCGAGTCCCACATCAGGCTCCCCCTGCTCAGCGGCGAGCCTGCTTCTCCCTCTGCCTGCCACTGCCCCTGCTTGTGCTCTCTCTCTGTCAAATAAATAAAAGCTTTTAAAAAAAATAAAAATTAAATAAAAATTAAAAAAATTAAAATTAAAAAAAGTCCCTGCTTCATAAGGGATGTTATGTGGAATAACTGTTGTCATGCATGCATGTAAAATGCTTTCTGTGGGGTCTGGAGTGTACTAAGTAGTCAGTGACTATCAGCTGCTGTTCCTTTCCAAAGTCTCATGGTCTGTCTAGGAGACCTTCTCCCGTCCCCTTGTTTCGACTCTCTACTCTAGAAAGATGATCTCCAGATCCGAATGCAGTTGGAGCTCTGGATTTTCACCTGCTTGTTGAGAGGCACTGCAGGGCAGAGGAAAGAGCAAGGGCTCAGGAGGGGCAGACGGGGTTGCATCTTATTCAGCACTCACAGCTGTAGCCTTCAGCAGCACTCACAAAGAGCCTTCATCTGAACACCTGCTCACCCACGCACTCATAAGTGGGTTCATGATACTTGCTTCTCTGGAGTTGAATAAGCTTTGCCATATCTATTTCCCCCAGAGCACCTATTCTACTCTAAAATGATAACTCTCTCCATGCTGTCCCCCAACCAAAGGGAGAGTCAAGTCCTTGAGAGTAGAAGCCTTGCCTTCTTGTTCACTACTGTTTCTCGGCCCCAGCACACTCCTGGCACAGGCTCAATAATGTTAGTTGTTCATTTACTTTCTCTCCTCCTATATTCCTCTGACTTCTCAAATCAACATGTACCCATCCAAACAACTAATCATTTCCTCGCTGGACCTGACCCATTAATTTAACAAACATTTGTTAAGTGCCAATTATAAGCCAAGCACAGGTCTAAGGGCTGGGACAGACAAAAGATAGATGAGACATTGTCTCATTTCGAGAAATGTTTACTGTCCACTGGGGAGATGGATAATGACACAGTATTTGTAATAATAGGAATACAGACACTTCACAGGGAATCCCAAGCACAGAGAAGGAACAACCTTTCTGAATGTGGGAGCTGGAGAAGGCTTCTCAGAGGAGGTGACAATTGCCCTGTGTGGTTATGAAAGAGTAGCAATTTTTCAGGCAGAGATTGCCCAAGAGAGAGGAAAGAGCATCGTAAAGACATGAACTAACATGGTGCATGCTCAGCTGGAATGGAGGGTTTGAAGGAAGAGCATGAATGGAGGGCTGAGACAATTTCCCCACATTTTTTAAGTGGAAAATTTCAAACATATACGGAAATAGAATAAGTGTATAAAATCCTTCTCCATGTGCCCATCAGCCAGCTTCAACAATTACCAATTCAATGGCCAATCTTTTTGATTTCTATCCCTACCACTAAACTCCCATCCCGTTATTCTGATGCAAATCCCAGACTGAATCATTTCATTCATAAATACTTCAGTATTTTGAAAAGGGAAAGCATATCCCTTTTTTCTTTCTTTTTTTTTTAGGATTTTATTTATTTATTTGAGAGAGAGAGAATGAGAGATAGCACGAGAGGGAAGAGGGTCAGAGGGAGAAGTAGATTCCCCGCTGAGCAGCGAGCCCGATGTGGGACTCGATCCCGGGACTCCAGGGTCATGACCTGAGCCGAAGGCAGTCGCTTAACCAACTGAGCCACCCAGGCGCCCCCCTTTTTTCTTTCTATAGATGTATCATGGTACACTAAACAATGCGACTTGTTTGTTCGCTGTTTATCCCTATCTCTATGGCAACTGTGCTCTATCATGATATAGAGTTGACTCCCTCTTTTAGGAAGCTACTTAGTGTTCCTTTTTGAATATACCACAAATAATCTCACTAGTCCCCAACTGATGGGCATTTAGGTTGTTCCCAATCTCGTAACACCAAAACAAAGCGGAGAGAATACCCTGGAACATACATCTTTGTGAGCATATCTATAAGTTAAATTCCTGGACGCGGAATTGCTAGGACCTGGTACACTTCAAATTCTGACAGGTGCTTCTTATTTGGCCCAAGAGTTGCTTTGAATGATTTGATGAAGATGCTTTCTCTCTGTTGTCTAGGCTTGTGGCATTATGGAGTCCTCTCTGCCTCTTCTCCATGTAGTCAGTCATATTTCCTACCAGCTCAGCTCCCCCTCGTGTGTCCATCTTCCTCCCTTCATTCTCACTGCTGTGGTCCTGGCTCAGCCTGCATCCTTTCTTACTAGGACAGTTGCAACTACCAACTCAGAACGTATTCTAATCATCTGCCAGAGCAAACATCCTAAAACGGGAACTAAATCATTCTCTTGTTTAAACACCTCTGTTGCTGTCTCACCATGCACAATATTGAAAAATCCAGCTCCCGAGCCTGCCTTCCAATGCTTTCCAGTTTGTCTCCAACTTTTCATTTCTCATATAGTTTAGGCTTCATGAAACTGGACCTTGGTGCCTTACTTGGGCCCCTAGCTCACCCTCTCCTTCCTTTCTCTGTTGTGGAAATCCTGCTCATCTTTGAGGTAAACTCAAACCCTGTCTCCTCCATGAATCCACGCAGTGTGGGACCATTAGTTTTGTACCCAGGTTGACTTGGATTCTAATCCTGACTCTCTCTCTCTTTTAACATTTGGAGTCCTCTACCCACCAGAGGGGATACATTTTCATTTGTGGATATGATCACCAGCCTTGGGCTTATGAATGTCTTAATAGTTGGAGGGCTTACTGATGCATGTTTTCTGGGATACCTCACAATCGCTCTTATTATTCTTAAAATGATTATAGCCACTACCCCAAACCTCACTCAAGAAAGTCAAGAGATTTATCAGTAATAGAAAGTTACTGCCATGGGGCCCCTGGGTGGCTCAGTCTGTTAAGGGTCTGCCTTCGGCTCAGGTCATGGTCTCAGGGTCCTGGGATTGAGTCCCACATCCGGCTCCCTGCTCAGCGGGAGTCTGCTTCTCCCTCTGCCCACCCCCCTCCGCTCTCTCTCTCAAAAAAAAAAAAAAAAAGAAAAGAAAAGCTCTGGCCACAGCCCAGGCTGCCACCTTCCTGCCGGATATTCCAGAGGTCAGTTTAACTGATACTTTAGAATCATAGGTTCATGGCTTGGAGCAGGCACAGCGGGCCTAGAAGTTATGATGAGTAGTTTTACCAGAACTGTTAACAAAATAGCTGACTACCGCCAGGGCCATCAGAGACCAACAAAGAGCTTGAGACGCCCTAGCTCAGGTGGTCCTCCGCAACAGTAATCAGGGCTCTCTGTCTGGGTATGTCACTTAATCTGAGACTCAGATCTTTTCATCTGTTAAATAAAGACAAAAATACCAACCTTGCCGGATTGTTGTGAGGGGTAGGGATAATGGACATATAGTAGGCGCTCAATAAAAAGTAATTTTCATTATTTCTGTGGTCACTGTGACCGTCCCACCGCACTTGATTGGAGCACTGGCTGTATTTGCTTTGTATCACACAGCTGGGGGTGGACAAGAGAGTGTCGAGCGCTAGACTGCAAGCTCGCTGTAGGCAGGGCTTGTGAATCACCCCTGGATCTCCCAGCGCCCGGCAAAGAGCCTGCAAATAAGCAAAGAAAGAGACAGAGGTAAACATGGAAAAAGATGCGCAGACGGAAGGAGGGCAGACGCACTTCTAGAGCTGCCGCAAGACAGGTTTCGGCTAGAATCTCGGTTGGAATCTCTACAGGCCAGCTCGGCGCGCGGAGCCCGGCCCGGGAGCGGGGCCGGGGTCCAGGGGCGGGGCTTGGTGCCGACCCCGCCCCGGTCCGTCCGTGAATGCGCTCCGCAGGCGCAGGCCGCGCGCAGCCCCGGGCGGGGAGCTGCCTGCAGGTTTCCCCGCGGCTCGGCGGGTCCGAGAGCGGGCGCCGAGATGCGCCCCCTGCTCGGCCTCCTGCTGGTCTTCGTCGGCTGCACCTTCACCCTGTACTTGCTGTCGACGCGACTGCCCCGGGGGCGGACGCTGGGCTCCGGCAAGGAGACCGGAGGCAGGTGCGTGGCGGGGGCCGCGGTTCGGGTCAGAGGAAGGGAGCCAGGTCCGAGGAGGGGGTCTGGGAGTGGGAGATTCGGTTCCGGGAGCGGAGGCGTCGGGGGCAGGGGGTTCGGTTCTGGGACTGGGGATCGGGGTCTGGTGGCCCGGCCGCATCTGTCCGGTGTCGGGTCGGCGGGGTGGATGGGAGTCGGGGCCCTGGCTGGAGCTGCCGGCTGCCGGCTGCGCTGTGTGCAGTTTGGGCGGGCGATCCGTGGCTTTGCACGCAGGGCGGTGATTTGCAGAGGGAAACGCGGCGTCTTATCTCCGCGGCGCCCCTTCGCGCGCCTCTGTCGGCGCGGTGGCGTCGCCGCAGGAGCCGTGCGCCCGTCGCCTTCCCGGGCCCAGCCCTAACCCGACCCTCGCCCCAGCGTGGACCCGCAGCCCCCCTCCTTCGTCCTCCCCACCCCATCTCACTTCCGTCGGCTCTGCCCTTGGGGCTTGCAAGCATTCGGTCTTCAGGAGTGTTGCATGGACAACTTTAAATTATTCACGAATTAATGATCAGGTCCGCCGGTCTTCCTGGCTGTCTCTCCTTTTCGCCTTCTCATGACCGACTTGGGGCGGGAGGCGGCACCGCGGGGCTGATTCCCCGGGAGTGTAGCATACAGTTTATAAAGTTTATGGAAGTGTGCGTTGGCAAGGATGTTACTGGTATTTGAATATGAGGGTAACTGTGTTCAGTTACAGTATTCTTTTGCCCTAGTTGAGAAGGCTGTGCTGTGGATGTCAGGCATACTAAGAGAAACATTCTGATGACAAGTAGGCGGGTTTGCTCATAATTGATCATTGATGGATTCAAGGGTTACTCTTATCTCAGAGGCAAGGTGGCCTTTACACTGTAACCCTTGTACAGGGTTCAGAATGAACTAAGGGCCAGATAAAGAGTTGGGGGGGAGCCTCTTTGAACGGGTTGGTTTCAAGCCTAATATGTTATCAAGAAGCTTATGTTTATGGTATGGGACAGATATACTTTCCCAGGGAATCTTTAATTGGCCTGTTAGTGAATGATAAAACAGTCTTTTTACCTAGTAACTGGGGAGCATTGTGAAGTTTCAATTGTCCTTGGGCTGAAGCTTGTGGGGGAGGGGGCGTTCCATGAAGGGAAGGCAATTTAGGACATTTAGTTCCTGCCTGAAAATGAATGCGTTTGCCTCTTAAGAATACATCATAAAACCTGAGAACTAAAGGGGCACTTACCACTTATTTTTTCCTGTAAGGAAACTGAGGCCCAGGGACTAGCCCGAGATCACACTGCTGGATAGCAGCAGAGTTGAGATGTTAACCCAGGTTTTGCTTCCCAAGAAGCAAGCTCTTCTGTCTCCCTCTGCTGTGTGGTATCAGGTCCCCTGTCACCCTGGGCTCCCAGTATGTGTATGTTCCTAGCAAACCAGTTGATGGGCACATTTATGAACCTACTTTGGAATGAAGACACAAGTGACTTTCCTAGGTACTAGGCCGATCTGGACTCACGTTTCCATGCGCTTTTCCAAATCCCCAGGTCACTATGGTTCCCCTCAGACCTGGCGGAGCTGCGGGAGCTCTCCGAGGTCCTTCGAGAGTACCGGAAGGAGCACCCGGCCTACGTGTTCCTGCTGTTCTGCGGCGCCTACCTCTACAAGCAGGGCTTTGCCATCCCTGGCTCCAGCTTCCTGGTCAGTGCCCTGCCCTCCTTCTGTGCCCGCCAGGAAACCACCTTCTCTCTTTGCAGAGGGGCCCTTAGGCTGCAAATCACACAGTCCAGAGGAAGAGTACTGTTGCGGGCATTTGTCGACAGCCTCCCCTGGGTCAAACACTGTCCTAGTTGCTTTCCTGACCTTATTTAACTCTCCTAGCAGCCTTAGCGTGTGGGCGTCATGATCCCATTTTACAGATAAGTAAACACTGCGGTGGGAAGGCACTGTCCGAGGTGACAGGGAGAGGAGGGGCGGGGCTGGGGGGCTGAACCTGTGTCTGCCTGGCCCCAGAGTTGGCCTCTCCTCTTGTTTCCAAGGCCTTGATGGCTGCGCGCTGTCCCGGAGACACACACACAGTCCGGGCTGGGTCGGCTGTTCCTCTCGGAGCTTCTGTAACGTTCTCCATCTTGGCACCGTTTTCTCTTACTTTTTGAAAATCCGTGTTCTCCACTAGTCTTTGAGTTCTTTGAGAACCCGGCCCATTCCTGATTCTCGGCTTTGTGTTTCTTTGCCCGGCTCAGGGAATTGCCTTCACAGATGTTTGACGAACAAAAGCAAGATGTTGATGGTGATGTGAGGCTGGAGAGGCCGGGGAGACCTCCCTGCGTGGGGAGGGTGTGAGGAGGACGACGAGTCGTCCTGGATTTCCCAGGCGGCCCCTCCCACCGCCCTCGGAGCCGTGGCGCTGGGCCTGGGCATGCGCTCTGCGGGCTGCTTCTGTTCAGTTGCTGCCTGAGGCTCTAAGGAAGAACCTTGCTGTCCTCCCCGCGGCATTTTCAGCTGTTTCATGTCAATGTGTGTGTATTTTAGGGCTTGGGGTTGAATCTCAGCTGCGTAACCACGGGCAACCCCTTTAACTTCTCCAGCCCTGTTTCCTCATTTGGAAAATGGGGCTACTCCTACGCGTTGTCGCGTGGAGGGTTAAATGGAATGGTGCGTGGAGAGCACCTGGCTCGGTGACAGTGCCTGGCGCACAGTGGCCCTCAGCACTTGTTGAATGACTGAGTGACTGAGCAGGAGACCTTGAAAGCTTCCTTCCGCCCTGCTTTTTTCTCCTGCCTTGGCATCTTTTCTCTCTACTCCAGGCTCGGGCTGGAAACTGGAAGAAAAGCAAACGTGTCCATGTCAAGAGAGACAGGGAGGTGTGTGGTGCTTGAGGTCTGGGACTGACTTCTTGGGGGTGCCTCTGTAGCTGCCTTCCCTCTTTTTTTTTTAAGTAGGCTCCATGCCCAACATGGGGCTTAAACTTACCACCCTGAGATCAAGAGTCAGAGGCTCTACCGGCTGAGCCAGTCAGGCGCCCCCGCCTCCCCTCTTGAGCTGATCCCTACTCAGGGCAGAGAGTCAGATGCTACCTGGGAGTGAATCCTGTCTCTGCCTAGTGGAGGAGCTTGGGCACAATACTTAATCTCTCCCCGCGAGAATGGTGTAAGGATGGCATATGACACAGGGTCGTTGTAAGGATGAAATAAGACATGTAGTCAAGCACTTCAGCTATAGTAGGTGCTCATCATACCCCCACCTTCTCACTTGGAAGTTCCCCTTTTACTTTCTCTCTTGGATCCCATGTTTGGCAGGGTGACGTCTACCGGCCAAACTGTATTTAGGATGTATTTGTTCACTTTTTATTTTTCTTAATCTAAGACTTTTTTGAGTGTCAGCTAGAGCTCTGGTCAACGTGGAACCCCCAGTGTTCTCTACCACAGATGTAATTCCAGCAGGAAGCAAAGAAAGAGGATGTTTTATATAGCTTGGGTGGTCTTACTGAAGGAAAATTCACGGTTTCTGTTCATTTAAAATGGTAACAATAACGTGTGAGTTGCATTTCTCCCTTCTTGGAGCACTGGTGATCGCAGAACCTCCCACAGCCCGTGCAGCAGGCCGGGGGGCTGTATACCCGTGTTGTCCCAGAGAATGTTCTCCTGCCTTCTGAAGTGTTCACCTCATCACTGTTTGGAAGGTGAAGAGACCAAGGCCAGGGGTACCGTTCCCAGCCCTGTCATCACTGTTCATTCACCCCTTTAGAATGGGAGTTGGGTTTGGGTTGGGAAAATCACTGGAAGAGGAGGGAACCTGTGACTCTTTGGCCCCAGTATAAGGTGACTGGTAGCCAGCAGATGTTCTAATGGCTGAGGGGTTTGTTTTATTTTTGCAGAATATTTTAGCTGGTGCTTTGTTCGGACCATGGCTGGGGCTTCTGCTGTGCTGTGTGTTGACATCAGTGGGCGCCACGTGCTGCTACCTGCTCTCCAGTGTCTTTGGCAAACAGCTGGTGGTCTCCTACTTTCCTGAGAAAGTGTCCCTGCTGCAGAGGAAGGTAAGGGGAGGGGCTGCAGCTGAGTGCTGGGCCCCCTGACGGTCACCTCAGGGCTCTGAGGGGTGTGCAGGCAGGAATTTCCCACCATGGTCCTCCACCCTGCTTTGGAGCTCTTAGGGGCTCCTTTTGGTCTGTTCATGACGCACAGACCTGGGATCAAATTCCGGCTTCATCATTACGTGCTCTGTGACTTTGGGCAAGTTCCTGACTTCTCTGAGCCTCAGGTACTTCCATTTTATTTTATTTTATTTTTTAAAAAGATTTTATTTATTTATTTGACAGAGGCACAGCAAGAGAGGGAACACAGCAGAGGGAGAGGGAGAAGCAGGCTTCCCGTGGAGCAGGGAGCCCGATGCGGGGCTTGATCCCAGGACCCCGGGATTGTGACCTGAGCCTAAGGCAGATGCTTAATGACTGAGCCACCCAGGCACCCCGGTACTTCCATTTTAAAAATGAGGAAAACGGGCGCCTGGGTGGGTCAGTCGGTTAAGTGTCTGCCCCTGTCCCAGGGTCCTGGGATCGAGCCTGCTTCTCCCTCTTCCTCTGCTACTCCCCCTGCTTGTGCCCTTTCTCTCTGTCAAATAAATAAATAAAATCTTAATTAAAAAAAATGAGGAAAACAGTCTCTACCCTGGAGGGTTGTTGGGAGATTCAGGAACAGAATATGTGAAGTATCTAGAACAGTGCTTGGTGCTATCAGATTTTCAATATCTAGAGATTCTCTGCGTCTTAATGGCCTTGTCTTTTTTGGCTACAGGTGGAGGAGAATAGAAACAGCCTGTTTTTTTTCTTGCTGTTTTTGAGACTTTTCCCCATGACACCAAACTGGTTCTTGAACCTCTCAGCTCCGATTCTGAACATCCCGATTGTGCATTTCTTCTTCTCTGTTCTGATTGGTAAGAAGCTGGTGGGGTAAGTCTGAGTCTTCAGCATTGCCATGTCGGAGGCCTACCCACATGGGCCTGTGTCTGCCTCTGAGAGCCCAGGTTTGTGAAGAACAGCGTCAAGAGTTGCGACCTCCAGTAATTATTCCTGATTTCAGATCTGCTCAGGGCTGAACAGAAAACCCATAAAAATACTTTTGGGAAAAGTAAGGATTGTTCATTCCACAGCGGTATTTAGCACCTGTTGTGTGGCCAGCACTGTGCTAGGCACTGGGGTTGGTAGCATCATCTGTGGAAAATGAGTCACTTGGCCCTTAGCAATGTCTCAGGAAATGCTAGCAGGAAAGCAGAGCTGGAGTGAGGGTGTGTGGGTGAAAAAAGGGTGGAGGCTGAAGAAAGGAGCAGAGCAACTTGGCCAGGTGAGGGGCTGGGACCAGAGCATTGTTTCTCCAAGTCTGGGCCTTGGATCACCTTTATCAGCGTGGTGATGTGCTAGCAGCCCATAAAGTCAGTGACTGTTGTATTCACACCGGAGGTAAACCACCCTCTTTAAGCCTAAGGCAAGGAGTGCTTCTCTTAAACCTACTTGAGAGCATGGAGAGAAAGACTGACTACTCAGGACTTACAGGTCGGACGTAACAAATCTGTGGTTGAGTAGCTGCTATTAATAGGGAACGCTTGAGAGAGAAAGTGAGATCTTAAGTCGAAGCAAAATCGACCACAGCTCATTCCAGTCATATTGGCTTTCGGACAAAGTGTCTTGGTTCCTCAGTTAGCAGCCTGTGATTACCTAGGTGGCAGGAGGCCGGGAAAGACTCTGGAGACCGGGCTTCCAGTCTCCTGACAAGCTGTGTGACCTTGAGTGCTCTGTGATCTTGAGGCATTGTCTACTGTAGGGGAGGACTGGGTGATCAGGGGGTCCCAAACCAATTAGTCTCAGGAGGGGCGGTCAGGAGAAGCTGTTACGATGGGTTTTACTCCAGGCCCAGGTAACCAGAATCTTGGGGGAGGATGTGTTTTTAACAGCTTCCCCAGGGGATTGTTAAACAGCCAGCCTGTCTGGCCACCAGTCAGACTTCTCGGGGATCCGGTGGATTTGATGATCTCTCAGAGACAGTATAGAACGCGGAAGTAGTGCTATTTCTAAGAAACTTGTTTTTATCTTATGCATATTATAAATCTCATAATGTTGGTGCCTCTCATTACTTAGGCTGTTGGGTCCTCAGAACCCAGTTTGAGGGCACTTCTAGCAAATGTGTGAACCTTACACTTTTTCGTACTAACCGTATCTCCTGATTTCTTGAAGGATATCTTCATTTATTTTTGTGTTTCCTATTAAAAATCTTTTTATCTTATTGTAGCACATGCATTTTTTGTAAATCATCTCAAGTCTTTTTGTTAAACAGGGCAGTTTATGGGAAGTGAGGAAAGGAGGGGAAGAGGTGGAGAGGGGAAAGAGGTAATGTGCTTAGGGGTCAGGAGTTGGGCAAAAAAAATCTGGAGTCGTGGTTGTGAATTCCTGGGGACGTTTCTGAGGGGTTATTGTTTCTCATCTTGCTGCCCCTGGTAACAGGCTCTTTCCCTTTCTTCCAGGTTTGGTCCCGTACAATTTTATCTGTGTGCAGACAGGTTCCATCCTGTCAACTCTTACCTCCCTGGATGCTCTCTTCTCCTGGGAAACAGTCTTTAAGCTTTTGGCCATTGCCCTGGTGGCCTTAGTTCCTGGAACCCTCATGAAAAAATTTAGTCAGAAGGACCTGCATTTGAATGAAATAAGCAACGCTAATCACCTAAATAGTAGAAAAGACACGTGATCTGGGTTGTTTGCCACGTCCCTGGACTCTGTTGCTTATTTGTGTACCGGTGTGGTCCTCTGCAGCCCCTCATTGTTTTTAATTACCCTCAACAGGTGATTTGGACACTCTTCATCTGTGTGCAGCGTTTTCATGAAGGACTTTCTGTGCTCTAGAAGGGGGATTGTACCAGGTCCTCAAACCAGTCCTGGCTTAGCAGGACACTCTGTGAAACGGATGGCCTTCTAGAAAATCCTATTTATATTCTATTGAATAACAAGGAACTCGGGGTGGTCTGTTGTATTTGCCTCTTGCCAAGCCCTGAGCTGCCTTAGGAGAAGACGCTGATTGTCCTTGTCCAGAGTTGCCTCTTTCGCTAAGTGGTAGGCTGTTGTGATAGGTGTTCTCCTGGTATGTCCCTAGTGGGTGTTCTTGGTATAAATGATGACGTGAACCCACCTCACTGACATTACCCTTCATCTTGTTAGCCTCTCGAAGAGTATTGTGTACTATTTTTTTGCTGATGAGCTACCTCTTCCATAAACCAAGGGAAACAAGCTGACGAACAGCGCAGAACTTGCACGTACAGCTCAAATGCACAGTGATCTCCGTGATGCTCTTTGTGTCCAAATGCACTGACGTTACCATATATGTCCAACCTCTCAGTTGCATGTCCTGACAAATAAGCTGATTGCAAATAGATTAAATATGAATGCAGCAAACTCTATGTTGCAGGTGTGTTCTGGAGAAATTCCTACCTGTCTGAATGGGGCAGCGTCCTTGGCTCACTTGAACCAAATGACTGTCAGTACATTTTCTAATCTCTCCTTTCTGTGTATGAATCCTTTCTCCATCCTCCTGCTAGGAGAATGGATTCAGTACACTGAGCTATCAGCCAGTGTGCCCTCTGTATTTTTTTTCATGTTGTCATTTGTCGAGAATAACTGAGGAATACTTTTATCTTTTAATCCAAAGAGGGAAACTTGGTTTTGGATTACTTTGTCGTGTGACATTTTAACGTTCTGAAGCTGTCATGGCTTCTTGCAGCTGCGGTGTTGAATGGGCACAGGCCTGGGTTAATGCTGCCAGGGACACAAGGACCTTGGCACCTAAACTGACCAGCTCTGGGATCCTGGACCCTACAGGAGTAACTCATCGTTTCTTACCAGAACTGTTGCCTTTGGGCATCACCTGCTGGGTTTTGATCTGGTTTGGCCAAAGTCTTGCCAAGGCTTTCACTTGGCCCACTGTTCTACACGCATTCCTGAGAATGCTCCTGTTCAGTAGGAAGCATCAGTTCCCAAGCTGTGCTTTAGGGACATCATATGATCCAAAAAAACACAACAAGGGCTTCATTTTTAAAGATGTGTTGCTTTCAAAGAAGCTCGGTAACGAGTGGGGGGTAAGGAGAAGGAGTGTGTGAAATCTGTAGCTTTTTGTGTCCTGGAGGAGGAGGAGGGAAGGGGGAAACCAGTGTCTTCTACACTATTGCAAGTTTGTGCCCTTTGCCCTTCACAGGATCCTTGTATTTGTCTCTTCCCCCCATGATTTTGCTACACTGTGCCTTACCAGTTGTGAGTTTACAGGTAAAGCAATTTCCCAAATAAATGGATATTAACGTTCTGTGTGGTGTGTGCTGGACATGTTGCTAACTTTCCATTCCCCTTGCTGGTGGGAATCAGGATGGGCTGAAAAGCAGACGATCCAAAATGGGGTTTGAGCTTCCCACTCTTGGGAGGCTTCTCACCACTATGATTCTTTGGATGCCCGATTTTTGTTTTCCCCTTTTCCTTCTCGGCACTCACTCAATAGTGGGGTCACTAGGAACAGAGGAGGAACTATGAGATGGGCAGCGGGGAAGCCGTGGGAAGGCAGGAGGGCACCTGTCCAGGCTATGACAAAACAAGAAGAGACTATGAGGACAGAAAACGATGGTTTCCCTTCCTTCCGTGGGTGTGTCTGCAACAACAGAGCCACAGAAACCAGCTTCTCCACCCCCGGCTCTCCTGGCTGCAGGACACCCTGCCTGTCGAGTCTTCCCTTCCCGAAAGCTCTGACAAGTGCCGGGACGGGTGAAGGCAGCTGTCAGGACCCACACAGCACCTTAGGAAAAGACAGGACCAGAAAGGAGTGAAGCACAGTTTTTGTTTAATTCCATGCATTGGTTTGCTTCAATCGTCACTCCCATTGCCCTCACCGTACAATTGCTCGGTACAAATGGAGCTGGCGTCCGAAACCACAGGGAGCGGGGGACTGACGGGACTGGAGACCCCAGGGAGACGGATGAGGAAGCTCATTTTGAGACTTAACCACAGGAAAGAATTTGCTCCAAACTGATAGGAACTCCAATTATTGCAATAAAGAATCCGAGTGGCGGAGAGCCGCCCAGGTGATACGGTCCCTAAGGGTCATCTTCCTAAGAGCTGGCACATTCTGACTGTGGGGCCCTCTGCGTGGCACCATCGGAGGACCCTTTACGCCAGGACACCGGGCAGCAACCTGGGGCCAGGGGCCAGCGCTCCCCTGAGTGCGGTGAAGTGGCTCCAGGGAGTAAGCCTGGCATTCGGCCGAAGGTTTCCTTACAGCGGCCTTGAATCCACGTAGGGGCCTGTCTCTGTGAAATCCTGCCACGATGCCCTCATCACGTGACAGTTAACAGACGCCTTAACCCCAACTCCTTGGAGGTAACCCTGTTTCTCAAAGCACTGCTTTGAGAGCTCCCCTTCTGCCATTTGTCCCTGAGAAGTGTTCCGGGTTCCAGAAGGGTCTTCCACTTGGCAACCTGGTTCATTCCAGTTTGAATAGGCGCTGCAATATTGGCTGTAGCATGCAAACAAGCCGACTAATGTAATTCTTATGTGCTAGTCTATGAGGTCGGTAACATTGGTGGTAGGAGTATACTAGGGCATTTATTCTATGAAATCAGCAAAGAAGAAAAATCTTGCTGCCTGGAAAGGCACTAAATTCATACTGACAGTACAAGTCAAAGTCTTAAAAAGAATATCACATTGTTTTGGTACATTAGCCTCACGGAGTCTAAGAAAGAAGCAAGTAACTGGGACTTAACATATTAACTTTGATCATAGAAGGGGAGGGAGGAACATGCTTACTGAACACAATGAAATGATGTAAATGAAGAGACATTTTGGAATTCCATTCATCAGTGATTGGAAATTATTCAGTTGGAATTGTCATCCAAAAGGGCAGTGGGCGGAAGCAAGTGGCCTTTCTTCCTGCCAATGGTGCTGACCCCCCCAACAGCCACATGGTGGGCTCCATAAGGAGGACACTGGTGTGATCCTGTCACTCTCCCTTCAGAGCTAACTCAAGATACCAAACCACCTGGAGAAAATTAATTATGAGCTTAGGATGGGGATGCCAAAAGAGATCTCCCCCTACACACCAATTCCAATCAAGTGGGAGTTGTCCCCAGTGCCCTGTTGTGAGAGGTTCTGAGGCTGTGGCAAGAACATGGTGATCAATAAATAACACCAGTCTTGGGTGTTCAGGGTGGAGGTGGTAGATGGCAGTATGCAGTAGTATTTTGGTTTCTGACTTAGTGGAAAAACAAAACAGCACCCTATACTGCAGGGCAGGGCAGGGCAGGGCAGGAATTCCTTGGATTCCAAATATGTTCTATTCTGGAGAGTTCAGTTCCAGAAAGTTCAAGTGGGAACATTTTACGAAAAGGGGAAAAACTTGAGACAAAAGGGCATGGGGATAAAAAAGTAAATTATTTGATCAATAAGGCTGCATTCACATGGAAAGGATGTCAATTCTTCACAGTAGGGGAGGGCATTTAAAATTGGGTTGGTACCAGGAAAATCCAATACCATCACATCTATTACTTGGGGTAAGAGGGAAATTTAGCAAAAATGAGGCCCTGAAATGTATGTCTAGTACTTACTAAGTCCTACTTTAAAAATCCTTTAATTCTAGAAGGATGATTTGTTGATACTAAAGTTTTTAAATATCTGAAATTCAAGTAGGCTGTACCAAATCATCTTACAGCAGAGCCAGCTAGCATCTCTACCCTTTTTGAGTAGGAGCTCCCACAATCTTGCAAACAGGTTGAAACTTCACTGGCGGTAAGGTCTATTATCATTTCAAAGTGGATGTCGGCTTCTCAGTCCCTCTGCTAAGCCATTTTAATAGGAATTGTTATCAGAGGACATGATCTAGAAATAGATGAAAATCAGAACCAAATGTTCATCTGCAAGACAAAACCCATTATCTTGCAGTCAGTCAAAAACAGATGCTAAATGAATGTGAACGCTCATCCCAAGGGGGTTAAACTTTCAACCAACACTGAAGCTTGAAATCATAGTCTTGTGAGGCTCCTTACAGCATGTTGCATGGTCTTGAGGACTGAAGAATCCACTCTTCGACTCCCTGAGCTCTGGATGCAGCACTCTTCAGATGACTGTGGAGTTGTTCTCAAAGAAACACACACCGCTTCACAACTGCCCTGGTTAGCTCAAGGCAGGCAGTGAAGGGCCAGGCTGGGATAGAGAAGGCTTTTAACTTAGATTATGGACACTGTTCTCTTCTGAAGCCTCTAGTCACTTCTACTAAAAATAAAAATGTTCAATGTGGAACTTTATTCAACTCTTGACAATACGGTGAATGACTAAAGATTCAACACTGTGCTAGCCTAGCATGCTCGTAACAGTAACCCAGATGGGTATGTATGGCATAATCAGGACAGGCAGTCAAGATGGTAATTCAAAAAAACATCAAAATTATGAGGTATCAGGTATCAGATTTTCTAGGAAGACCATCACTGAAAGGTGTTAAGACAGAAGCTGACCCCCTCCTGTTTCTCTTTTGCCACTAGAGGTGGGTAAGACCGGGACGAGCTGAAGTATGTTTTATGCTGGAGAGAAAGGGGATGTAGACTTGTAGCCTCTCTGTAGCAACGAAGCAGCGAGAGTCACAAGACAGTGTGGGTCTAAAGTCCAAGGATGGAAACTCTGGGCTTTCAAGGTACCTTTCCAGCCCTATGACCCTCTAAGTGACTAGGCCTCCTTCTAGAATTTCTCTCATCTTTTACCGGATGACATCACAGCTAGGCATTTTATGTCATTCTGTTTTAATGTTTCTTTGCTATTCCCAGCCAGGAGAAAAAAAAGGTTTGGTGCTATGGGACCCAACAGGAAGGAGATGACAAGCTGCTGCCCGCTCCCGGCGCTGCCTGACCTACGGGCCCCGGGCGGTAACCCCCTGGGTTGGTTCCTCCCAGGGCACTAAAATAATTCTCTTTTTGCTTCTAATGTAGTCCCACGATTTTATTTCTTAAGAAACTTGAGAAAGTTTACAACTTTTGAAGTATTTGTCCATCCACTCAGTCATCTGCCCACCCAGGAGCTTTTAGGATCAAGTCAAAACCACAGTGTATCTACCGGGCTCCAGGGCAGAACCCGCATCCTCAGATGATTGTTGTTGCACACAGAAAATGAGGGAATACAACTAAGATGAATACCAGGGAGCTCCCAAGTGGCAGTTCCATTTTCATTCCTTCATAAAGATCATAAAAAGCCATCATTACTCATGGTTAGCAATACACACAATCATTGTGCTACACTGTAAACCACACCTTCTGATCGACAGA